GTGTACTGCGCTTTCAGAGGACATGAGTCCAGTTCCCAGCACCTGTTGGGCAGCTCACACTGCCTGTAATGTCAGCTCCAAAGAATCCAACACCTCTGGCCTCCTCAGGCCTCTGTGTACGAGTGTGTGGGCACAATACACACACACACTTTAAAACAAAATTTTAAATGTGAGAGAGAGAGAGAGAAATGGGCCTCTCTCACTGGCTCGGAATGAGCTGAACAGACAGTCCAGGCAATCTAACCCTGGCTTCCCTATGCTGAAGAAGCAGAGGACTTGATCATCCGGTGAAGCTGGGCATCTCTTTCCACGGTCCTAGAGACCTACCAGCCCTGAGTCCCACTGGGAAAGGCCTAAGGGGCTGGAGTCTGAGTGGCCGCAGTAGACTAGATGCTGAGGGGGAAGTGAAAGTAGACAGGCGGCCCGAGGTAGGAAGCTGCTGGGCCCTCAGGATGTGTCCCCTCAGTCCTCTTTGGAGCTACCCTAACATCCAGAGGTGTGTCTACAAGGTGACTCTAAAGCCCGTGGATGGCAGAGGACAACTTCCGGGAGTCACTTTTCTCCTCCCACCACGGGGGCTGGTGAGATGGCTCAGGCCCTCAAACTTTGCCACAAGCACCCTCATCTGCTGAGCCCTCTCACCAGCCCAGTATAAACTGTATAAACTTTAGGATTAGATTGTTGACATTTAAATTATAACTTGCTGGGCAGTGGTGGTCCATGCCTCTAATCCCAGCACTTGGGAGGCAGAGACAGACAGATCTCTAAGTTGGAGGCCAGCCTTGACTTCAGAGCAAGTTCCAGGAAAGCCAGGGCTATAGACAAATCCTGTCTCAACAAAACAAAAACAACAAATCCCCCAAACAAATAACATAAAAACAAAACAAAACACCTGGGGGCTAGAGAGATGGCTCAGTGGTTAAGAGCACTGGCTGCTCTTCTGGAGGACCCAGGCTGCTCCATATGTGCTTAGAATTGAACCTAAGTCCTTTACAAGAGCAGCCATTGCTCTTAACTGCTGAGACATCTCTGTAGCCCTGTGCAGTACATTCTTTATCAAAATGAGGAACTGAAAAAGTTCCCGGTCTAGTTTGCTGAGAGTTGTCTTTTACAGGCTTTTGTCCCAGATTTTTTCCAAGCACTGGTATTATCCTGCAGTACAGTGGTTCTCAACCTTTTTAAAGCTGTGGCCCTTTGCTATAGCTCATGTTGTGGTGACCCCCATCATAAAATTATTTCACTGCTACTTCACAACCGTAATTTTCTACTGTCATGAATTGTAATGTAAAGATCTATGTGATGGCCCAGGGGGTCACAACCCACAGCTTGAGAACCATTGCTGTAGTTCTCCAGCAAATTCTTCTTTAACATAACCGCGTTAATCTTTCTGTTTGTTTGTTTTTGAGACAGTGGCTCACTAAATAGCCCTGGCTGGCCTTGAACTCACAGAGTTGTGCTTGCCTCTGCCTCCTGAGTGCTGGGATTAAAAAGACATCTTTCTGGTGAGTGTCTCCTGTCCTGGTGCCATGAAGAGCCAAAGCACTGGGACAGATGACTACTGCCCCCACAGCAACATGGCCATTGTGGGAATGATAATTTGTGATTTATCAGACCTCAGAGATGCCCGAGAAGCATAAAAGTATGGAGCTTATATTATGGTCAGACAGTCAAATTTCTACCTCAATGTGGGTTGCAGAGTGCAGAGAGCTTTCCGTCACATACATTCATCATTATCTTATTTGCTTATGTGAATGAGTGGTTTGCCTGCATGCATGTCTGTCTAGCACACATGTATCGAGCATGGATGACACCAACAGACGGTTAGATGTCCTGAACTAGAGTTACAGAGGGCTGCAAGCTGCTGTGTGGTTGTCAAGAATCAAACCCAGGTCCTCTGGAAGAGCAGCCATGCTCCTAACTCTGAGCCATCTCTCCAGCCCCGAGGTGTGAACCTTTAATCACTTTGCCGTTTTGAGAGCCATCAAAGAATAGAGCACTGCCTTTAATGTGAATATATATGTACATACACACACATATATCATATATAATAGTGGATATAGCCACTATATGACTATGTAAAATTTTCAGGTTGTGTTTTGCCCATTAAAGATAATTTTCTGTTGGCCAGGCAGTGGTGGCAAATGCCTTTAATCCTAGCACTCAGGAGGCAGAGGCAGGTGGATCTCTAAGTTTGAGCCTGATCAACAGAGCAAGTTCCAGGACAGCCAGGGCTACACAGGGAAACCCTGTCTAATAATAATGATGATGATGATGATGATGATAATTTTCTATCAAGAAAACAAAAATGTTCAAAAAATAGTGTACTGGGCTCATTTATTGTTTTGCGAGACAGGATTTCTCTGTGTAGCCCTGGCTGTCCTGGAAGACCAAACTAGCCTCGAACTCAGAGATCTGCCTGCTAGGATCTCAAAGATCTCCCCAGTACTGGGATTAAAACTGTATGTCACCATGCTTGGCTAAAGATTTTTTTTCTTTTTTTCTCGAGAGAGGGTTTCTCTGTGTAGCCCTGGCTGTCCTAGATTGGCTTTGTAGACCAGGCTGGCCTCAAACTCACAACTGCCTACCACTGCCTCTGCCTGCCTTTGCTGGGATTAAGAGCATGAACCACCATGCCTGGCTTAAAGATTTTTTTTTAATATTTATTTATTTATTACTTATGCAGTGTGTGTTAGCATGTACACCTGCACGCCAGAAGAGGAAACCAGATTTCATGTTTAGATGGTTGTGAGCCACCATGTGATTGCTGGGAATTGAACTCAGGACCTTTGGGAAGAGCAATCAGTGCTCTTATCCTCTGAGCCATCTCTCCAGCCCCCTTAAAGATTTTTTTTAATTAACTGTAGATTTGTAAATCAACTTAAGTATTTAGAAAATATATGGAGGCTGTGAATATTGTCTGACAATTCTTCAGTACAATTTGCTATATTAAAATTCATTTTTCTAGATAAAGAAAATGTAGTACATTTATACAATGGAATATTACTCTGTAGCTAAAAAGAATTATATCAAGAAATTTTCAAGCAGCTGAGCAATGATGGCACATACCTTTAATCCCAGCACTCAGGAGGCAGAGGCAGGTGGATCTCAGTGAGTCTGAGAGAGTCTACACAGTGAGTTCAGGACAGCCGGAACTACACAGAGAAACTTTGTCTTAAACACACACACATAACAGGGTGTGCTGGCACACACCTGTCATCCCAGCACTCAGGGAGGCAGAGGCAGGTGAAGTCTCTGTGAGTTCAAGGCCAGTTTGGTCTAGGAAGTGAGTCCAGAGAAACCCTGTCTCAAGAAAAAGAGAGAGAGAGAGAGAGAGAGAAAGAAAGAAAGAAAGAAAGAAAGAAAGAAAGAAAGAAAGAAAGAAAGAAAGAAAGAGAGACATACAATGCAGGCAAATGGATGGATCTAGAAAAAAACTTATCCTGAGTAAAGTAACCCAGACCAAGAAGACAAACATGGCCAGGCTTCCAGCGTTGGGACTGGGACACGAACCCAGGCACAAAACCTCCCACCTACAATCTGTCCCACCTGCAACTTGCTCTGGGGCACTGATGGCACAGAACTTTTGGGAATGGCCGACCAAGGAAAGGTCTAATTTGAGTCCCTCACCACGAGAGGGAGCCCATCCCATGCTTTGCCTAGAGGGCCAAGAACCAGAGGCTGGAGAGCCCAGAGAACCAAACAGGACAGGCAAGATAGATAGATAGATAGATAGATAGATAGATAGATAGATAGATAGATAGATAGATGGATGGATGGATGGATGGATGGATGGATGGATGGATGGATGGATGGATAGATAGATAGATAGATAGATAACAGATTGGTGTCTAGTCCAGTTATCTTCAGAGAGACTGCCTCTGGCAGCTGATGGGAGCAGATGCAGGGACCCACAGCCAAACATCAGGCAGAGAGAGCCCAGGTTGGAGGTCACCATGGGGCCCCTCCACTCAAGAGCTCAGGAAACCCTAGGGAAGAAGGGGAGGAAGAACTGTGAGAGGCAGAGGGGTAACGACCGACCCTGGGAATCAACTAAGCAGGGCTCACGGTGGCTCACAGAGCGAAGCGGCCTCACGAAGCCTGCGTGGGTCTGCACCAGGTCCTCTGCGTATATATTACAGCTGTGGGCTTGGTGTTCTGGGGGGACTCCTGACGGTGGAAGTAGGGGTGTCTGATTCCTTTGCCTGCTTTTGGGACCCTTTTCTTCCTACTGGGTTACCCAGCCTTGATGTGAGGGTTTGTATCTACCTGATCTTACAGTATCTTGTGCTGAGTTTGGTTGATGTCCCTGGGAGGCCTGTTCTTTTCTGGGGGGAGGTGGAAGGGGGAGAGTGGACCTGGGGGACAGGGGGAGGTGGAGGAAGCTGCAGTCAGGATGAATTATATGAACAAAGAATAAATAAAAACTAAAAAAAGCAAAATCAGAAACAACTCATTCTTCAGAATAAGAATTTTTTTTTTTTTTTTTAGGAAAAAAGACATTTCAGTGTGTGAGCTGGGGTGGAGGACAGCAGTACCGGCACAGTGGCGGTTGGGAATCTTCCAGTTTGTAAGGTCCCTGGTCTAGTGAGTTCGCTTGTGCGCTTAACACAAGGTGTTAAGGGTGCAAACGCGCTCAGGTCTCCTCCAGAGTGAGAGGCCGGGGGACCGCTTCACTACTCATTCTGAAACACCAGCGCTGCACACTTCACACCAAACATGGACACGGAAAAGAGACTCCACAGGACAGTCTCTGTCACGAGCACGGGTGTGGAGACCTATGCCAAAACGTGGCAAAGGGACAGGACCTTGACTTGGAGTAAAGTGCTGGCCGAGCAAGAAGGGGACCCTAGATGTGAGCCGTTCCAATCACACAAGTGCCACAGAACTCAGGGACGAGGCAAGGGAATCATGGATGGACTTACGAAAACCAAACTCCCATCACCACACGTACACACAGTTAACACACGGAGTCTACAGTGCACAAAGGAGGAATCCTGTGACATGATGAAGTGGGATTTATTCCAGCTGTGGTAAACTGGTTTAACATTTAAGAAAAATTGTGCTGGGTGGTGGTGGTGGGGTGTATGCCCTTTACCCCAGCACTCAGAAGGCAGAGGCAGTGTTCAAGGCCAGCCTGGTCTACAGAGCGACTCCCAGGATGGCCAGGGTTACACAAACTGTCTCAAAACGAAAAACAAAAAAACCCATAACCAAACCAAACCAAAAACTTTTTTAAAAATCAGCGTGGGTGTTGGAGCGATGGCTTGGTGTTCAAAAGCTCACGCTGCTGCCTTATGAGGGCGGGAGCTCAGAGCCCAGACATACGTGTCATGCGGGCTACAACTGCCTGTGACTCTACCTCCCCTTTCCTTCCTTCAGGAAGAGAAATGCCAATAATTTGAGTTAGTTGATCATGCCTACGTGATGAGGCTTTCTTAAAAAGTTTTGTTCAGACTTCTGGATGTACCTGGAGGTGCCTGGAGGGCAGCACGTCCCAGAGAGGACGTGGAGATTCCCACCGCACACTTTGCCCCCCCCCCCGTGTCCCTTCCATCTGGTCACCTGTATCTCTGTAACATGTCTTCATTTAAAAAATGAAGTGTGTGCGTGTGCATGGACTGTGTGCACGAGTGCAGGCACCTGTGGGAGCCAAAGGTGTAGGGTGCCCTGGAGCTCAAGGGACCAGGTTCTGAGCTGCTGGACATGGGTGCTGGGAACTGAGCTCTCTAGTACCCTGTAATATACTTTTGCTTGTTAAGAGTCTCACGATGAAGCCACTAGCTGGCTTTGAACCTGAGGCCTCAGGCTCTGGACTGTTAGGATTATAGGCCCGCACCACCACATCTGCTTTTATAATAAGCAGGTGAAGGTAAGTAGAGGGTCCCTTGAAAATTACCAAACCTAGAGAGGTTGTGGAAACCCTGATTAACAGCCTGCTGGTCTGAATCACAGGCCCACAGCCTGTCATGGATACGTGAGCTGTGACACACACCACCTACCTTGTTTCGTGGGAGGAGTTGTTCATCTGGTGGCCGGCCTGAAGGAGCGGGTGGATATAACACAGGTCCATGGAGGGTAGGGAGATGGGCGTAAGATAGAGGGTTGGATTACCCCTCCGTGTGTGACTTGCGTCGTGGTCCTGTGTGGCTGGATGTGTGTAGCAGGACAGAGGTGGATGCTGGGTGTCTGACTGCTCGTCACCTTACTGAGGCAGGGGTTCTGGCTGAACTTGGGTTTGCTGACTCAGCTGCACTGTTTGTGAACATGCTCCATTGGGGTGGGGGTGGCACATGCCTTTGATCCCAGCACTCGGGAGGTAGAGATCGCTGAGTTTGAGGCCAGCCTGTCTACAGAGTCAGTTCTAGGACAGCCAGAGCTACATAGAGAAACCCTGTCTTAGGAAAAAAATATAAGCAAGCTCCAGAGACCCTGTGTCTGCCTCCCTAGCTGTGATGACAGGGTGGGGCCTCACCTGCTTTCCACGGAGGCTGGGGCTTACTCAGGTCCTCACACTATGCACGTTACTGAGTCACCTACCCAGCATCCTGAGCCTAGTATCTTCGTCTTGGACTAAGGCTTGCACACCTGCTGCATTTGTGTGACAAGAGCTGCTTTTCTGTATCCCCTCCCTACTATGCTGAGAGAACTGGATGTCACCAGAGCTGGGCCTTGGGCTCAGTGGGCACGAGGCAGCAGTGGCAGCACCCAGGCTCCGTGCCAAGGCACCAAGAGGAGCTGGGCCGCTGGCAGGGGAGCTCGTCCCAGACAAACTCCGCTGGTGGCTTCTGTGGGACCCGCTTCTCTAGCTTCCCTGAGAATGGTCCATGAAACTGACCTATATCCTCTCTCTACTCACACCAGCTGGAGAAGTCTCTAGGATGGCCACCTTCCTGATTCAGCAACGGCTGGCCTCCGAGGCGAGTGCTTCGAAGCTGCTTCCTCCTTGTTGAAATATCCCTTCAGGTTCAGAAGACTCCGGATCTGGGAGCTCAGAAAGTTACAGGCTTGGCAAGGCCTAGCCCTCACGTTATAAAAGCAGTCAGCAGTTTCAGGGGGACCTCAGGTGGAGCTGGCTACAGGACTGATAATGCTCCAGAGAGGCAGCTCTTTGGAGTGGCCACCCATGCCGGAATGGCCTGTCTGGTGATACAGCTGGCTCTGAGTCACCTGTACTCTTCTGACTCCAATCCACTCGCTGGCTCACTCACTAGACTTGAGTGGCATTTTGTCTTTGGCCTGTTGTAGATGCCTTGCCTGGGATGAAGAGGTCACTCCGTGGTAAAAATCCATTGGCGCAGCTTGGGCCTGAACCTGGCCTTTTGCTGGAATTACGGAGGTCTGCGGTATCGGGGTTAGTCTAGATCTTTCTGGGGGCTTATGCCCCAATCCCAGTAAATCTGCTCCTAACAAGAGTCCAAAAGAAAACAAGGCAATCAGAGCTGTCAGTGCATGTGATTTTATGGGGCAGGAGCTGCAAGCTCCTCTGGCAGTCTGTTGGACCAGCCACACCTGGCATTCTCAGCGGGCGGCGAGCCCTCGGAGGTAGTCCCCGGCCAGGGGCAGCACCGCCCAGTCATCAGTCCTTAGGGCCACGGGCACGCCATCCACCTGAGCTGCCTCCAGCCGCAGCAGCAGCATGGAGTCAGGGGGCAGGCGAACAGCTACCAGATAGGCGGTAGGGGGCTGAGCCACCACAACAAAGGGCTCTAGGTGCTGGGACACCAAGGCCCCCAGGCCCTGTGGCCCAAGTGGACACCACACACGACTTTCTACACCCTTCGGCAGGCAGGAGTTCCAGAGCTCATCAAAGAAACGCAGCTCAGAGCCCTTGGGGAGCTGGGGGAAAGGCAGGAAGAGGTCAGAGAAGTTCACAGACACAAGTGGCAGGTGGGCATGGCATGTGAGGCCAGCAGGTGTGGTATAGAGGGCCTGGACATGTAGGTGGGCGGGGGCTGGGCGTCGGGGTAGCAAGGGCAAGTCCAGCGGATGGGCAGGCCGTCCTGGATGCAAGCAGGGTATGTGGATGGCCTCCAAAGGCTCATAGAGCTGTCCTTCTACTCGGAAGCGCAGCTCCAGAGAGTAGACGGGAGCCTCCAAGGCCTCTACCTGCAGATGAAGCACCGGGCGCAGGCCTCTGGCCTTCTGAGGCCCCGCACTCAACTGAATTGGAGCCGGAGTCTCCTGTACCATCAATGCTGATGCAAAGCCCTGGTTCTCTGCCACCAGTGACGAGGCCAAAGCGGGTACAGCAAGTGAGGGGCCCAGGGCCATCCGCAACTTGGGGCTTGACAAATGGCACAGAAGGATGTAGTACAGTCGGGCACGGTCCCGTCCGTCAGCGTCCTCTAGCTTTCTGGCCAGTACCTGCAGCAAGTCAGCCAGGCCGTCCCCCCTACCCGACCGCAGCAGTGTGCGGCACACCCGCAGGAGGGCCTGCTGGAGGCCCCAGTTGGTGCAGTGTGTGGCTGCAGCCCGCAGGAAAGCAAGCGTGGCGCTCTGATCATCTCCCTCTGCCACCTCTGCCAGCATTTGCAGGTGCCAGCAAAGAGCTTCCTCCTTGCCTGGCATGGCTACCACCTCTTGTTGTAGCACCTCCCTGAGGGGCTCTCTGAGCTCGGGGCTTAGCCGACCTAGGAGGTCCACAAAGTAGGGAGCCAGGGATGGCCGAGCTCGGTACAGTTGGGCCAGTCCACGGATCAAAGATGTCCGCACTGCAGGCTGCCCAGCCAGGCAGCTAGCAACGAGGTAGGAGGCCTGGAAACTGAGAGTGGCCAAGGCTCGGGGACCGCCATCCAGTGCTGCCCTCTGCTGTAGGCCAGCCAGCAGCTCCTGTAGGAACCACTGTGGACCCTGAGCCGGGCCTTTCTCCTCTTCCTCATCCTGATCGGCACAGAGCAGACACAGCAAATGCAGGCGGGCCAGGAGGACCATTGGGTCCTGCAGGAGACTGGGCATGAGGCCCCTGCATAGCTGGGGCCCCAACAGCAGGGGGACAGCCTCTTCCCCTTCTGGACCTAGCGGACAATTCTCAGGGAAGTTCAGGAGGCAGTGCAGGTAGAAGAGGTGTGTGGGCGTCGGCAAGGCTGGGTGCTGGGCTGCCAAGGTGAGCCTGCGCAGCAGCAGCACCTCATCCTGGGCCGTGAACAGGGCCTCACCGAAGGCCGCTTTGAGAGACAGAACTGAGTGCAACAGGGCCAGCTGTGCGGTGCCCAGCAGCCGAACTAGCTGTGGCTTGAAGAGCACTGGTGGCTGTCCCCGAAGACCCCGAAGGGCCCAGCCCAACAACCACAGGAGCTGGGCCTGAGCCACAGGTGTGAGCAGGTAGGAAGTGTCCAGAAGCTGGGCCACCGCAGCCTTCAGCTCTCGGGTGTCCTCAGGGCTGGGCTCTAGCAATGGAAAGCCACGCTCCTCCCCCTCAGCTGCGTGCCAGCTAGGCGCCTGGGGCATAAGATGGGCATCCCACTCTTCAGCTAGCGTCCAGTCCCAGGGACAACTCCCAGTGGAGGAGACCCCGGCCACAAGCAGGCCTTGCAGGCCAGCCCCAGACCTGGACTGTACCACCAAGGTGTTGTGCAGAACGAGGGCCAGCAGCAGGCTGACAGGCTGGACAGGACCCATTTGCCCTAGCAGGCTCCGCAGCATCCCCAGCGAGCCGGCCAGCAGCCCAGGCTTACAGCGCTCCAGTTCTCGGAGGCATTCGCACGCCGTGGCCTGTAGGTGGCGCTGCTCTACGACGGCTCCAAAGCTTCGTCCCATGTCTCGGCCTGAGGCTAAGCCAAGAAGCAAGGGCAGGAGCCGGCAGGAAGCTCCTGAAGTGGGTCCAAGAGCACCTCCCGACACCAGGGCTGTGGTGGCTGCCAACAACAGGAGCCTCCGGAGAGCTGAAGGTCTTGGGGGCAGGAGGACAAGTGTGTCCAACAAGGAGCCGGCAGCAGCCTCCGCCGCAGGTGCCTCCGGCCACAGTTTGTCAGAGTACTCCAAGCTCAGTGTCAGTAAGGACGCCTGCGGTGGGGGATTTAAGAGGAACTCCTGAAGTTCGGCATGCGAGGGGGAGATGACGCAACCCTGTGGACCACGGCAGGGCACCCGGGCAGGACCTACCTTGGTCTGCTCGCTTAGCTTTTCATTCCTTAGGTCACTCAGCAGGTCGCGAGCCAAATCCTCACCCTCGGCACTTGCTAGGAAGGCGGACGGGCTGGCTCGGAAAGCCGCCAGGCGCTGGGCCCAGGCCTCACGACTCAGGGGCCCCATGGGCAACCAAACCACTTCGTTCTCTGCAGAGGAAAGGGGCGTTCAGGCCCTCGGCCGCAGACACGGCGGCGAGGACGCGCGGGCCCTCGCGGCCGCCAGGGGGCGCCCGGGCCCTCCCCCGTCCCTCAGGGGCTGCCGTCACGCCAACCCCCAGCCCCCCAGAGCCCGGGTCCCAAGGCCGGAGGCGGCAGCCGAAGGCCCCTCGTGGGACGGGCCCCGCAGCGAGCGGTGTCCGGGCGCGGGGGCGGGGGGCGGATTAGAGGTGCGTGCGGAGAGCTCGTTACGCCGCCCGCCCACGGAGGGCACCGAAACCACAGCGTCGCCGGGGCCCCTGGCGCCCGCGGTAACGGGCCGGCCTCTCTCACCGCTTGAGTCAGCTGCCGCGGGCGCTCGCTCGGCTCCTTCCGGGCTGGCGGGCTGGCGGCGCGGGCCCGGGCGGGGCGCGCGGCGCGTGGGC